AGGGAATAATAGAGTGAAATACTGTTGGAAGGGAGGTAGTCTATGACAGTCTAAGTGACTAGGACTTTATTTTGCTTGTTATATTGCTTGCGGAAGCACCAGTACCATATCCACTATATATTCTGGCTGATGACTATATTTACTATATAGCATTGCACATAACTATATTGACTATGTAGCTGCTATATAGTAATGACAGACTGCTATATAGCTCGTATAAGGGGGGGGTGGTACTACGTGACTATGGCTGATATATTGACTATATTGACTATATAGATTGGTTGGTTTTTCCTGATGTCTCTCCTTACGTTCAGGTCTCTCTTACATCTGAGGTACATATTTTCCATTCAGAACGCTACAAGCCCCCTCCAGGGTCCAACTCAGAACTCACACATTCCTACCGCCAGGTCGTTCGCACACATCGGAACCGGCTGGTGGCAAATTGGCGGTGTACGCAAGCGGCACATTGCCATACTGTAATCGCAGTGATTTGAGCCATTTTGCCATCAAAATCAAGCGACCAGGATTCAAGTATGACGGAGAGCTTGGTCCTTTGGAGAACAAGCTCCAGAGCTTATACGAGAACGCCTCGATCTCCGGGTATGGTAATGTCAAGAAACAGACAACAGAGTTCGACCCCGAAGTACGCAACGCCAGAGAGCTTATAGCCTCTGAATTTGTCCCGAGTGCGAAGCTCGTAGACATTGTTGCGCAGATTTGGAAAGAGTCCTTCTACTCTCCAAATATTCGTGTGGAACCATACAAAATCCATGTCTATGGGCCAAATGGCATGTTCAGGTCTCATCTTGATACTCCCGAGATGGACTTGATTGGGACCTTCTTGGTAGGGTTGGGGGATACCACCACTCCAACCAATCGACTGAAGGTTGCTGACAAGTATTTTTCGGCGACCCCCTTCTCATGGGTTGCATTCTATTCAGACACGCCGCACTCAGTGGAGCATATTGAGTCAGGGTACCGAGCTGTCATTGCCTTCAAGATTTTTCGCTCGCAGAGTATCCCCGAGGAAGTAACCAGCACTACCCCTGAGACCGATGTCGCACCCGTGCCTGAAGATCCTCGCGCAGATCTGACGTCTTTCATCCAGAAGACTGTGGATGACCTGCCGGATACCACCTTTATCCTTGGACTTGTCCACCAGTATCCGACAGGCGTGGAGGAGCTAGTCGGCTTTGACAGGCTTCTTCTCAACGCCTTACGACGTCGCACCGACCTCGAAGTCCACCTTCTTCCTGTTCTCGTCGACTATCGTAGTGCTACCGACGAGGAATACTTGGAGGGGAACTACTTTCATGCAAGGGTTTATCCCCTTACAGATGCTCATCTGAATTATTTGCTTGGAGATAAAGAGGCAATTGCTCGCGACGAGTCCATCCGCTGGATGAAGCACTTGAAGGAATCTACCCTATTCTACAAGATTTCAAGGGAATGGGACCAAGTGTGGAAGGAGCACATTGGCCAAGGTCCTGGCTATACCGGGAATGAATCCCGTGGACAGGATCAGCACAGTATCTACCTCTCATACGGCCTTGCTATTCTTTCCAAAGCAGCAATGCACCAGGGTGTTGATGAAGCGGGAGTACCGGAGGAGTGAACGATGGGCGGAAGTAAGCTCCGCTCGGCTAGTATTTTGACAGCTACATATATGGATTTGTTGAAGCGATCCGCCTTACTATTTAATGACTTCCAACCTAATACACTCATTCTGCAAGTTCGGACGATGGTTAACCTTGGTAAGCACTTGAACTAAGGCTTGAGCTTGCACTTCGAAGGAATTTTGATACTACGGACGGCTTTCGCGTCATACTGAAACTTTCGAGGCACGAAGAGTTGACACGAGCGATACTTCGCAAGGTAAAAAAGTTCATCTTCCCCGAATGACACCGACGACAGCAGCAGGATTCGAACCTGCGACCCACAAGGGGAATAGATAGAATTCGAGTGCGAAGCAATTCGAATCTATCGCCTTAACCACTCGGCCATGCTGCCTTACCGAAACGGTTTGAATGGACACAATACCCTATGGGCCTCAATGATGAAGTTTGGATGAACATGAAGCCCTCACATGAACTGCCCCTAGACTCAGACTGGGAGAGCATTCCATCAGCTTGATAATTCTTCACTCATCATACTGAATGTACTCTTCTTCGTCAAACTCCTCTGAATCATCACTATCCCCAGATCCACTCCCCGCATCATCCAAATCCTCCATGTCAGCGTCCAAGTCTTGTTCAGATTCCGAACCTTCTTGTTCCGACGTAGGTATAATTTCTGTTTGACTTGAACCGCTGCTATCGGAGGCGTCGCCGTCGTCTCCCTCTTCTGCTTCATCGGCCTAAATACGGGTAGGGTAAAAGAAGACAGAAATGGGGGGGACTGGGTGAGGGAACGTACATCATTCTTTTCTTCTTGCTGTGTCATTAGTCTGCCAATCGGTACGAGAAACGAAGCTCCCCTATCCTTTATCTCTTCATTCTATTTTCCCTACTTGAGTATATATAGGTAAACTTCACAAGAGCAAGAGACGTACCAAATCTTCCAGTTCTTCCTCTTCATCGCTCAGATCATTCAGTTGACGGTTCAGATCCCTTCTCCGAACCCATCGGTGTGATGGATAGTCATGTGGCGGCAGCGGAATAGGATGAGGGAGAGGTGGTTGTGGCAAGACATTAGGAAAACGCGGACTGCGTGACAATATCGTCGGTTGTGGAGCAGCCATATTGGCATTGAAGAGACTAGATAGAGTATTCGTACACGCGCACGCAGCTAAGGCTGCGAGTGAGAGAGCGGGATGAGGGTAAAGTACAGCAGAAGCATTGAATGAGGCTGAAGGCCAACACGCAAAGACCGCGATCATGGACGCCCGATCGCGACTCGCTTCTCCCCACGGTTCCTCACGTGCACGCGCCGCAGCATAAGAGTTGCAGTCAAGTTGAACGAGTATCGAGATCGCTGCCAATTTACTTCTAGGTTCTCTCGCCGCGCTTCAGCCTTTGAGTGTTTGAGAAGTTTTGCAGAGCAAAGGAAGATTGAAAGTAATTCCAAAAGCAATCTTGCATTAAACATACACGGGGCGAAAGGAACAATACAACAGCTCGAAGTGTAGGGAGAGCATCAGAGGGGAACACCCCGCCGCTCCAAAGAAAAAAGGCACCAACGAGCCTAACAAGCACACTGAGACGCATCTGGTATCTCGTTATTCGGGGGTGAAGTGACATCGATTTCTGTGTTACGCCAATCAGCATCGAATGAATACAATATATAGACGGAAAGCAAGCTTACTGGCATTCTGCGTTTCCGCAGCTTCGCCTTCTTTCTCCATCCCCACAAGAGACATGGCAATCTTCTTGAACAGACTCTTGACGTTGTGGCCCGCTTTCGCGGAAGTCTCCATGAACATGATTCCAAGCTCATTCGCCTTTGCATTGGCCTCCTCCAGAGTAACTTGCCTGTATATTGAAAGTCAGCACGCGAAGGGGAATATATATATGTATTCATGGTCTTGCCGTTTGTCCGATAGGTCAGCCTTGTTCCCTACTAGTACAATGATGACATCGTTCCCCCTTTCAGACCTTACATCGTCTATCCATTTCGAAGTAGACAGGAATGATTGTCGGTCTACAACCGGGTCAATATATGCTGGAGTATGCTGAAACGTTGAACATACTCGTGATGTCAAATACGACGATGGCAACGGAGCAATCCCGAATATACGAGGGTATTAGTGATCGGTACCGTTCCTGAGGAAGACACGTCAATGATCGTTCCCCGCAATAAGTACCGCAACTCCAGGAGTCTAACCTGACCAGCAGTGTCCCAGAGCTGTAACCGGACAGTCCGGTCTTCAAGATACATTGCTTTGCTCAAGAAGTCAATGCCAATGGTCGCCTGATATGTATTGTCGAACGTGTCGTACATGAACCTACATTCTGTCTCTCAGTACACGCGCGGACGAGGAACTGACTTGTATCTCTCGCAAGGACGAACCTAGTGATAAGACTTGTCTTCCCCACACTCTGATCCCCCAGCAGCACGATCTTGCTCCGCTTCAGCGGTGGTGAGGAGTAGTCGGCAGATACTGGACTTGTGGCCATGGTGGTACTATACGATCAATCCGTCGGGCAGGAGAGGCCTATGTATGTGAATTGCAGTGAACAGAGCAGAACGTTATGGGGGGATGCGAATACGCGTGGAGCTTGCGGAGGATGTGGTTGCAGTCAGAGAGTGCCCGCATTTCGTGTCCATTCTGTCGGGAGCGCCGGCACATCGCCGAGGTCAATATGCAATTCATTTAAATTCTTGTGTCGACCACTATAAACAGACTTCTGACTACCGCACTTGCTCCTGCCTTATATTCCACAGCTTTACTTTGAAGTTCAGGAATTGGACGAATACAAAGCGGCACAAACGCAATCATTTCGCCATTAGGCTCCACCATTGAACCGTACTGTCAAGGAGAAGCTATCACAAATCGGATCCCTGGGATTATAAGGCAGTATAGCTGGAGGATCCCTTGCTGTCTTGCTTTGGACGATCTTCCAGTGAACACGCACCATGAAGATTTCCGACAAGATTGCTCAGTATACCGATGGGCACCCATACTATACCTTTGAATTCTTTCCCCCTCGCACCGATCAGGTATGTCACCCTCTGTTGTCTCGCCATGACTCTAACAACACCATCGCTCGAAGGGTTTTGAGAATTTGCTCTTGCGCATCTCTCGGTTGTCTACCCTCAAACCTATTGCTGTGAGCATTACATGGGGTGCAGGCGGAAGCACCATGCATCGCAGCCTCGATCTGGCTGGCTTGACTCAGGCAGAGTACGGAATCGATACGATCATGCATTTGACTTGTACCAACATGGAACAGGGGACCGTTGACGCTGCGCTGCGGGTGCGTTAATCATCACTGGCTTCAGACTTCCAAAAAACCTGATTCAACTCGCTTTAGGCCGCGAAGGAGCGAGGGATTCAAAACATTCTTGCCCTCCGAGGTGACCCGCCCAGGGGAGAGGAGTACTGGATCCCTACAGATCCCCGTTTTCAACACGCCGTAGATTTGGTTTCATATATCAAGTCTACTCCCGAATTTTCCGACTTTTGTGTAGGTGTAGCAGGTACGTACCCGACTCGTACCCTGTCCATAATTGAGCTCATCCTGACAGATCCGAATAGCTTATCCGGACGGACATACCGAATCCGAGCATGATGAAGACAGGGAAATTGAGTTCCTAAAGGCAAAAATCGATGCAGGGGCCGACTTTATCGTGACTCAGTTGTTCTACGATACAGATAGCTTTATCCGATGGCTGAAGAAAGTTAGAGCCAAAGGTTTGTCAAGTTCAGGTGCTCAAATTCTCTGTATTACAATATTGACATGACACAGGCATTCAAGTCCCCGTCATTCCTGGCATCATGCCCCTCCAAACCTATGCTTCGTTTCTCCGCGTGACCAAACTTTGTGGCACCAAAATTCCCCAGAGTCTTCTCGATGATTTGGAACCCATAAAAGTATGTGTACTTACACTTTTGTGGCTATTCTTGTGTGCTTACAGTATTGCAGCACGACGACCAAAAGGTAAAGGACTACGGCGTAAAGCTCGCCATCAACATGATCAAGAAATTGACCGATGGAGGTGACGTGCCCGGTGTACACTTCTGTACCCTGAACCTCGAGAAGAGTGTACAACGTGTACTTGAGGGCCTGGGATGGGCAGGAAGTAGCGTGTCCAAGGTTTCCAATAAGTTGATTGTGGCACGTACAAATCAGATTCAAGTTTATCTTCGACCAGTTCTTAACCGTATCGGCAGGATCCACCCGAAGCTGCGCAACTTAGTGATGACAAGGTCATTGACCCACACCATGCCGCAGACTCTGCCACGAATCAATTGACAAAATCCACTTCATTGGAACACGAAGTAGGAAAAGGAGAAGTCAATAGCGCAGCTACTTGGGACGAGTTCCCGAACGGACGTTTCGGAGATTTCAAGAGTCCCGCCTATGGTGACCCGAATCCCTGGAACAGTTCCCAAATCTCCGTATGTAGACTTGTTGAACATATCCCTCCGAACTTCTCACCGAATATACTTTTCAGCGCAACCAAGCTTTGAATGAATGGGGTCACCCTAAGACACCATCAGATCTCACTACTATCTTCCTTGACTATCTTCACTCCAAACTCTCAACGACACCATTTTCTCCAGCGCCACTATCCCCCGAATCCATGATGATCTTCTCCCACCTTGAGAGACTAACGAAGAACGGATGGTGGACCGTCGGCAGTCAACCTGCCGTAAATGGTGCGCCATCGGAAGATAAGGTTGTTGGTTGGGGTCCCAAGGGCGGGTATGTGTATCAGAAGTGTTTCGTTGAGTTCTTTGTAGAGAAGGAGGACGTGGAGAGGATTGAGAAGAAAGTATTGGAAAAGGGTGGTGGATGGGTGGATTACTTTGCTGGAAATCTTTCGGTTGGTGTTGGCTCATTACTCAAGCTGTACTGCTGACGCTGAAGCTCACTTTTCATGTTATTCAGGGTATATGCAGGACAAATGTCCCTGAGGGTGGTCGTAATGCAGTCACCTGGGGTGTGTTCCCAGGTCAGGAAATCGCGCAGTCGACCATCATAGAAAAGGAATCATTCTTGGCTTGGAAGGTCAGTTCTCCTCCTCTTTCGCGTCGGCATATCTACTCACTACCCTATCACCTGTAGGAGGAAGCGTTCTCCATCTGGGCGGAGTGGGCATCGTACTATCCACCAGCTTCTCCCGAGCGAGAGCTTCTGGACGGTATCCGGACTCGAAGGTGGTTGGTCAGCATCGTGCACCACGATTTTCAAAACCCCGATGCTCTATGGACGTTCTTGTTCGACGGCGACGATCCGCTCATCCCTTGAATTCTTTAGGAGAATCGTATTTGCTTGTCATCGTTGTTGTATCTCGCTACATAATGTATCCTTGCTCCAACACGCGTCATTTGTATAGTATGCATT